TTCAACCCAAATATTCAGATGTGTGCAGCGCATTTTACGGAGGACTGTTTCCTGATCCTGGGAGAGTAGCCTACAATGCTGTCTACACACAAAGGCTGTTTCTATAAAGTGGGGCAGTTCCAACATTCTCAGTTTCAGGACAGTCTGGCGCTTCTGACTCACAGCCTTTAAGTATGTTTTCATATTTAAAGAATTTGCCACTGACGATTCAAACGTGAGTTTTGGGCAGTGTAGAGTAGCGCTTGTTGTTTGTCATTTCTCCGATCACAAATGCAGACATGGTTTTATGTTTACGCGGCACAATGCAATGCGTAAAAAGACCGTATAAGTCATTATAATATAATATAATGATGCAACAAATGCCTCGTTTATAATGGGTTTGAATGTTTTTGTCTCGTCGCTCCGGCTGGACAGGGCATCACAGTATGGTTAGGGGCGTAACATTTCTGTCACACGCTTGAGGTATTTGGCCAATCACAACGCACTGGATAGCTGGCCAATCAGAGCACACCTTGCTTTTCAGACCGATGAGCTTTGTAAAAATCGACGCGTTTTAGAAAGGCAAGGCATAGAGGAGAAACAATAATGTACAGTATGTGGAAAATAATGTGTTTTTTAGCAACGTCATATGACCCCTTTAATCAATTTCATGTGTCCTTGATGAATAGAAGTATTGATTTCTTTCAACAAAAGGAAAAATCTTACTGACTCCAAACTTTTGAGCGATAGTGAAGTATAATGTCTTTATAAAAGATGAATGAAAAATTTATTTCTCATGATATGATTCCTTTAAAGAGATGTATTTTCTTTCCAAAATGCATATCGCAGATATGATAAGGTTTCGTGCAAGTGAGATACTTTTGGCATCACTGGTTGATACTGTGTTTCAGAGGTGGGGAAGCTGTGGTGTCAGATGTTGTCCAGCCTTGTGACCCATGCTATTATCATCTGTTTGAATACTGAAGGTTTGTTTTTTTCTGAGAAGCCTGATTCATAAACACTTGGGCCCAAAGGAATCTCAATATTTACCCTCATCAGTTTTCAGCTTGTGTAGCTGTGCCAGCAGCTCTTTAGCCGTGCTCTCTCGTCCTCTTCTAGTGCGGCGCTCTGTTTAAGCAAGATTGGACGGAGACACTAATGAGTGTTGTTTCATTGGTTGGCCTGAGGCTGGTAACCCATCAGCTGTTTGTTTGTCAGAGCCAGGCAGGATACAGGAGACAGGCTGGTTTTTTTTCCCCTTTGTTTTTTTCTTTGGCTAAACGGCCTCAAGTGACTCCATTAGCAGGAGGTCTGTTAAATCCTAAATGTCGGTATGTCAATCATCATTCCCAGAACATTTTTTAAGATTCACTCTTCATCAAAGCCTCTGTATGTTTACATTTCTACTGTTTGGCAGCTGAGTCTGACCTAGAGACATTTTGATGATTTTTTTAATAGAATTGCAGTATTGTGCACTCTGTGTCTGTCCAGGTATAGTGGTTTGTGTATCAAGCTCATGGTGGAGTTACTGATAGTCATCATAGCTGGGCTTGACTGTCTGTCAGTTTGATTTGTTGCAGTTTTATTTGCTGCCTCTCTTTTTTATGACAGGACCTTCACAAATTTCTGCCTGACTGACAATGACAATGTGCCGCCCAGAAGTGATTATTATTATTTTTTTTAACTATGGAGCTGTGGACTAGAGATATTTAGGCAGACGTTGTTATGGGTGAATCACATGTAGAACATGTGCAGTTCAAATTGTTTCCTAAAATCAAAAGAAAATGTTTTAAATATTTATTATATTATATTATATTATATTATATTATATTATATTATATTATATTATATTATATTATATTATATTATATTATATTATATTATATTATATTATATTATATTATATTATATTATATTATATTATATTATATTATATTATATTTTCCTTATATATAACAATCCAATCCTTATTTCTGTAATGACACTGAATTTTTTTATTTCTGATTTTTTGTTGTTGTTGTAATTTTCGTTATTCTCATTTGATTCTTATTGTAATATGCTGTACTGACACATTGAATAATATCAAATAATATTTTTAATTCGTTTTAACTTTAGTTAAAATTTTAGTAATTTTGTGCTTTTGTCATATTTTTTGTATTATTATAAATAAAATATTTCGAAGTATTTTAGTTTTATTTCAGTTGTTGGTTTAATAATTTAAGTACTTCAAGTTCAGCATATTTAAGTTTGATGCCAAGGCAACAGTTAAATTTTTTTTTCTTAGTTTTTCATTTAATATTTATATTTTATTTTATTTCAGCATAATTTCAATGATTAAAACTGTTTTTAATAGCTTTAGTTTTAGACAAGAATAACAATGTTGTAATATATATAAACATTAAAGAAAGTATATTATATATTTAGATATTTATTTTTTATATTTTAATATTTTTTTAAATACATTTTAATAAATTGAAGACAGTACAACACATAATGCCATTATAAATAAACCAAAAATGAAATGGCAATA